GAGGAGATCTGTGCACATGTGTAGTAGAACCCTCCAGGGGAGGGGATAGGGTGTCCATTCACTCAGGCATCCTCTCTAGTCACCAGAATGGAGATGTATAGATAGCGAGAGACCAATAAACAGATACCAGAAAAAAGAATGTCCACACCTGTATCTCTGCAGTTCTATCAGGCGTTCGTGGCTGTTCTGATCTCTTGGTCTCTCTCAAGTAGGCGGCTCCAGGAGCAGCTGAGCATCTTGAATTAGAAAGCAATGGATTTCTTGATTCTGCTACAAATCCCCTAGCTGTAGGCCCAGACTACTCTATACTATAGTATATATCAGTATTTCATTTATTTTTATGGCCAAATAATATTCCATTGTATGGATATACCATATTTAATTTATCTGTTCATTAGTTGATGAACATCTGGATTCTGCTTTTGGCTGTTATAAATAATGCTGCTATGAGCATTCATGTTCAAGTTTTTTGTGAACATGTTTTCAATTCTCTTGGGTATATACATAGAAGTGGAATTGCTGGGGCATATGATAACTCTGGTGTCCTGGTGTGGCTCAGTTGGTTAATGCATCAGACTGCAAAGTCATTTGAACTGCAAGGTTGGCGGTTCAAGCTCAACCTGCCACTTCTCAGAAACCCTATACAGGGTCACTATGGGTCAGAACCAACTTGACGGCACTTAACAACAACAACAGCATGGTACCTCTATGTTTAACATTTGATAAACTGCCAAACTGTTTTCTAAAGTGGTGACATCATTTTACAATTTAAGTTACTTTTTGAATTCTTCTTTGTGCTTTAATTATTCTTTTCTATATTATATGGTTTTTGGACATCTTGATTTTTAGAATAACAAATAGAATCTCTTCTGAAAGTAATAGTTTGTGATAGCAAATTTATCTAAATTCAAAATTATTTATCACTTTATAATCTTTTAAAAATATACTGTATCTGGTCTAAAAATGGAAAGTAATATTAAAACTAATTTTGTTAACAGAGTGGAAGGCTAAGCAAAGAGTTGGATTTAGTAAGTCATCATGTGAGGACAAAACTGGATGAACTGAAAAGACAAGAAGTAGCAAGGTTAAGAATGTTAATTAAAGCTAAATTGGATTCCCATCAAGGTAAGTGCCAAAGAACAGGTAGGAAAAATACTGTATTTGGTTGTTGAGATCAGTTTACATAATTACACTTACATGTTCTTTTTGTCAAAATTTAATGTTAGCATTGATTATACTTTTTATTGTTTTTGAAATTCAATTTTTTGAACAGGTAATACATTTGCATTATTAAACAATCAAAATGGTTATTTTTAAATATGAGGGCACTGCAAAAAGTTTGTGGAAAAATTCATTATATTTTAATTCCATTTTTCCAAAAATGTTTTGAAGCCCTTCCATAGTTAAATAGCTATATGTAAATAAAGGAAGAATCAAAATGAATAAACAACTGATTTAAACAAGAAAAATAACATCAAAATAAGGCAAAAGAAAGCAGACAGAAAATTTAATTAGAATAATTTCCATAGATGAAGTAGAAAAATTGTCAGAGAGCTAAGTCTATAAAAAGTATCAGGCCGAGATAGTCATAAGGTTATTCACTTCCTGATGAATAGACTTAGAAAACAAGTATCAAATTGCTCAATATCCTGAAATTACGGTTTTCAATGAGAGGTAGATTGAGCGCTTGTTGAAGTAGTCAGTCACCCAAAGGCATTTCATCCTTGAAGCCATGCCTAAGGTATTTGGAGATTTCTTTCCTCTGAGACATCTGATGTGACTTTGAAAATTTATGAATATTTTCTCATTAATCCTAAATTTATGAGTTGAAATTTCTGGTAGCATGAAGAAGGGCATAAAGCATCTTATTCATTTAATTTTTTGGTGTCGTTTTTAAGAGTAGACCATACATTCACCTGTTTTAAACAGTAAAGATATATAGTAAAATTTTCCCTGATACCTTTGTATACTATACATTCCCACTGACTCCAGCACTATCCTTCCTGAGTTTATTCTTACATAAGAAAATGCAAATAGGTTTTTATTTGTTCTCTCTTCTACAAAATGTAGCATTAAATATTTATTTTGTACCTTGTGTTTTTCTTTGATAATGTATTTTGGAGATCTTTTCATATTAGTACAGAGACCATCTTCGTCTTTTCTTTTTACAGCTGCATAGAATTCCATTATATGGATATACCATAATTTATTTAACCAGGACATTGGGTTTATTTCTAGTGAATAGTCTTGTACGTATATCACTATGTATCCATGTAAGATTATCTGTAGGATAAGTTCAAGTGAAATTTCTAGATCAAAGGTATATACACTTTTTTTTATTTCAGTAGATATTGCCAATTTCACCTCTATAGAGGTATCAATACATATTCTCACCAGCAACAATTCCTCACATCCTTGTTGCTGGTATGTGCCTTTAACTACATGGATTTTGAAATTCTGCTAGCTGTTATAATCATGCATTTGGAATGTGTATTCTGTAAGTGAGGTTAAGAGTATTTCCATATCTTTTTGCTCATATCCTTTAGGGTTAGGTTTTATAGCAAATCCTATTTTCATCATAAGTAAAACTCCTAGTACAGTGACATAGTAAGAATTCAGTGAAAGTTTGACTGAACAAAAGTTAATTTCTGGCACAGGAAGATGATCCAGGCTTATCTTGTACCTACCTCAGCCCTGGAATCAGTCATTTCTATGATGAACTGTAATTCTTTTTAGTGGCGAATGGTCTTACAGACTGAGCACAAGGTGTACCCATTGCTTCTGGAGTGTATTTTTTTCTTGGTACTTTCTTCATTCAGAATTAGGAAATATATGCATGTCTATACACATAGTTCTGATGTTGTGCTGTGGGCTAATGTATCAGACTGCAAAGTCGTTTGAACTGCAAGGTTGGTGGTTCAAGCTCACTAGCTGCTCCTTGGAAACCCTATACAGGGTTGCTATGGGTCGGAATCGACTTGACGGCACTTAACAACAACAACATACACATAGTGGGTTAATGCGCCAGACTGCAAAGCCGTTTGAACTGCAAGTTTGGCAGTTCAAGCTCACCAGCTGCTCCTCGGAAACCCTATACAGGGTCGCTATGGGTCGGAACCGACTCGACGACATTAACAACAGCAACAACAATACACATAAGCGTACACATGCATGCACAAATATTTACCAAAACATATACAAGTGTAACATTTATATATACATTTATGGAGATGTGTTTTAGAAATCATGAGTTCACATATATAGCACCATTCTCAGTCATATCCTGTGTTCTTTCTTACTTTTCACCTTCTGTATGTGTATATTCCTGCTTCCTTTTTGAGAATTCTTAACTTCCAACTACACTGACACACGTACCCATTTTGCCCAGATTTGCTTCACTAATTCATATACTGAAGTTTTTTGTTTTCTCTTTAAAACACAAAACAATTGATATTTCTTTTAAAATGTCAAAATTCAAATGGATTTACTTGAATTAAACTATTATTTTTCTATTAGTGATTCATTGGAATGGCATAAAGAATTCCTTCGTATAAATTTCAGAGCAATGCTTTTTAGAAATACTTAACACCTTTGATGAGGGCACTATATTGTTGTTGTTGTTGTTAGGTGCTATCGAGTCGGTACCGACTCATAGCAAGCTTATGCACAACAGAATGAAACACTTTCCGTTCCTGGGCCAACCTCACTACTGTTGCCACGCTTGAGTTCATCAATGCTACCACTTGGCCAATCCATCTCGTTGGGGATCTTCCTCTTTTTCTCTGACCCTCCACCTTACCAAACATGATATCCTTCTCCAGCAACTGGTCCCTCCTGACAATGTGTTCGAAGCATGAGATATATTAGAGTTAACTAAATTGAAACTTTGGTAGTTTCTAAATAATAAAAAAGTATTTACTATTAATTATACTGGTAGTCAAGTAGTCTTTCTAGAAACAGCATTAAAATGTACATATTAAATTATAGTCAATTCTAGGCTCCAGGCATTACCTTTTGGCTCAACAATAATGCATACAGTGTTTTAAAAGAAAATATGAACACTTAACTTAAAATTTTGAAATTTATCGTAAAATCCTATGAGGCTAAACTATTCTTATGTATTATCTATTGAAATGTTTCTGGCTTCTGGCAGTTGATTCTTTAAAGTTTTTTCGTCATCTTTCAGATGTAGGTATAAACCACCAAGCTCTTCTAAAGCAGTTCGATCACCTAAACCACATGAATCCCGACACGTTTGAATCCACAGATTTAGATATGCTAATCAAAGCGGTGAGAATCATTTCAACAGATACTCTTTTATGGTGCCTTTCAGGTCTTGTAATTTGACAGGTAAACTCAATGAAATAGTAGCATAACTTGATAGACTTTCTAGAATATCTTTAAAGGGAGGGAGGTAGCTTAACTGTTATTAATGCAGATATTAATCTGGGTGTATAGTCTATTTTAGCTATAATTCTGAAGTACAAAGAGCTTTAAAAGCTGAAACTTGTCCTGAACCAATTATAGTAAGGCTATTTATAGTTTCTATTTTGTCTTAATGTATTTATCGATTTTGTTAAAGAAATACTAATCTATTTGATTATAGACACTACAGATTTGTTTCATATATTCCCATATGCCATGTTACCTTTATAAAAACCTAGAAAATTCTGAAGCAAATAATGGCCTCAGGTTTTTAGGTAAGAGTCTCTGGTAGTGTAGTGGTTACGAATCGGGCTGTGAACTGCAAGGTCAGCAGTTTGAAACTACCAGCTGTTCCAGGGGAGAAAGATGAGGCTTTCTGCTCCTGTAAAGATTTACAGCCTCGGAAATCCTGTACAGGTTCGCTATGAGTCTGAACCGACTCCACAGCACATAACCACCACAACTACCACCAGTGCTGTACTGGAAGGAGCTCTGGTAGCATAGTGGTTACGAGTTGGGCTGCTAACCTCAGGGTCAGCAGTTTGAAACTACCAGCCGTTTTGTGGGAGAAAGATGAGGCTTTCTGCTGCCATAAAGATTTATAGCCTTGGAAACCTTATATAGGATTGGAACCGACGCCACTGCACACTACCACCACCACCACCACTACTGGACTAGACTCCTGGTGTGATGCTGTAGGATCAGCACTGGACTGCGAACCATAAGATCAGCAATTCAAACCCACCAGCTGCTCCTTGGAACCCCATAGTGGGTCACTATGAGTTGCAGACTACTTGATGGCACTTAACAACAACAATACTATCAAGTCTGAAGTTACCAGACTAGATGATCTAACCCTGACGATATTATTGATGTTGTTGTTAAGTGTCATTGTGTCAGTTCTGATCCATAGGGTTTCCAAGGAGCAGCTGGTGAGTTTGAACTGCTGACTTTGAGGTTCAAGCCAACCTTGAGGTCAAGTGCTTATCCGATGGCCCCACACTAGTACTCGTAGCACTTGTTGTTGTTGTTGTTGTTAAATGCTGTAGAGTTGATTACTACCCATAAGTGACCCTGTATAGGGTTTCTGAGGAGTGGCTGGTGGGCTTGAACCACCGACCTTGCAGTTCAAATGATTTTGCAGACCAACCCGTTAACCTACAAAGCCATGTCAATGCTTCAAAACCATTTTAGTTTTCTCTACTGTATAGTCTACTTCTTTTTTTTCTTTTTAAAATCAGTTTATACATTGCTTAGGGGGAGCTTCTTAACATGCCATTAGCTTTGAATTTTTCGTTTCATTGAATGCTTACTCCTCTGGTAATAATAATGACTTAAATAAAAGGTAGAATTAAAAAAGAAGAATCTATTGGCATTTTTTTGCCTCCTCCCTCCATGTGAGTTTCTTTTAGAAAGTATGCTGTATTCTGTAATCAGTTTACTTATATTCTTCAAACATAATCTTTTTACTTATTTTAAATGCATTGTTGTATTATAGGCTACAAGTGATCTAGAACACTATGACAAGACTCGACACGAAGAATTTAAAAAATATGAAATGTTGAAGGAACATGAAAGAAGAGAATATTTAAAAACACTGAATGAAGAAAAGAGAAAAGAAGAAGAATCTAAATATGAAGAAATGAAGAAAAAGCATGAAAATCACCCCAAAGTTAACCATCCAGTAAGGAGTGTGACTTTATGAAACCATATTCAAATGCAGGGACTTCTTTGTACCAGCTAGCAGAATTTTATTATAAATTACTCATGCTTATATCTTGATGATTAAGTCTGTAAATGTCTTCAAATGTGTATGTTATCTTGAGACTCAACATATAGATTCTGTTTTGTTTTGATAATTTAAAAAATTTATTCATAGGGAAGCAAAGATCAACTGAAGGAGGTATGGGAAGAGGCTGATGGACTGGATCCTGATGACTTTGACCCCAAGACATTTTTCAAATTACATGGTAACAGATTTGATACAAACATTAATATTTATATCTTCTGTTTGAAAAGAATACTAGTTGCTTTATTCTTACTTGACTTCTACCAAGGTCTGTTATTGAGTTCTATTGATAATAAATGTTTAGAGTTTTTCTCTAAGGTACTGTAAGATTCTTTATTGCTGATCTGCAGTGTAAAATATTTTAGACTTTTCCTGCTGGGTCATTGTGACTCACTGACAGGTTCTCTGCACATTGACAGTGAGTTTTTTTTTTTTGCTAGCTGATAATAGGCTTCCTGGTGTGGTATTAAAATTAATTTCTATAGCACATTGTTTTACTTTGAATTTTTGGGGAAAAAACTGGTTAAGACATGTTTTCCTAAAATAATTTCTGAATTAGATAAATATTGGTGGTAAATTGTCATTGGAGTGATCTGAGTCTTCAGTAAAAAAGAAGTTTAATTTCTGAAGCACATTGATGGTTTATGTCAGGACAACAGTTGCAGACAAGTTGTTAAATAATTTCATTTCAGTTATTTTTTTAAGGCATTAAAATGGATTTTTTGCATTTGTAACATTTAAACTTTAGATGTCAATAATGATGGCTTCCTGGATGAACAAGAATTAGAAGCCCTGTTTACTAAAGAGGTAACCACATTTATAATGCATTTGTGTTTTCGCTCACACACTCTTGCTCGCTCTCTTTTCTCTTTTTTTCCCTTCTATTACTTTTTTTCTTCTAAGCTGGTTTAAAATTTTTCTTTCTAGTTGGAGAAAGTCTATGACCCTAAAAATGAAGAGGATGATATGATAGAAATGGAGGAAGAAAGGCTTAGAATGAGGGAACATGTAATGACTGAGGTATGTTTGAAAAGTTCTAACTGTGTGTGTGACGTCTGTTGATACTTCAAGTTCTTGCACTCAATCTTACCATGAGATAGATATTATGTAGAGAGATAATGTATATAACTGGATTTTGAATTTTTGATCCAACCGACTCAGTATATTCCTATAGTGCAAGTGAAATAATTTGTTATTACTTTAAAGTAGTTTTCATGCATGTGATGTTGCTGATGTTGTGTGCCGTGGAGTCGGTTATGACTCATAGCTACCCTGTACAGGGTTTCCGAGGCTGTAAATCTTTATGGGAGCAGAACGCCTCATCTTTCTCCCGCAGAACAGCTGGTAGTTTCGAACTGCTGACCTTGCGGTTTGCAGCCTGATTCGTAACCACTGGTAGAGTAGTGGTTACGAATCGGGCTGCGAGCCGCAAGGTCAGCAGTTCAAAACTACCAGTCACTCCGCGGGAGAAAGATGAGGTGGTCTGCTCCCGTAAAGATTTACAGCCTCGGAAACCCTGTGTCTACTGTCGCTATGAGTCGGAACTGACTCCACGGCACATAACAACACCAACAACGCTACCAGAGCTCCTGCATATCAACTATAAAATAGACTCCTTTAGATGTGAAATATACAATATTTGGTGTTTAAATATTCTGTGTTAGTTTTTGCTAAGAAAAAAACAAAAATTCCAATTACTTAATGGATTATAACTACAAAGATTTATTTCTTATTCAAATTATATAAGCTTTAAGAGCTGTTTGCAGGTAGGTGTGTCAGGGTTAGGCTGCTTTGGGCTAGGTTGGCTGTGGCTGGTTTTGGCTCTACATTCCCTTCTATTCCCAGACTATTTGGGTCATGTTGTTCTCATGATGGAAGACAGGGATATAAGAGAACCCCAAGCCAAACTACATAATAGTAGTCTTATGCTCAGATGTGACAAATCTCATATCTACTTACAACCTGTTGATTGGCCAAAGCCTTGTCTGTGGCAAGAGTCAATGAGGAGAGTGTTATGTGTTTAATTATGTCCCCAAAAAATATGAGTTGTAAAACTAACTTCTGTGCATGTGGTTATAATCCCATTTGGGAATGGGGTTTCTCTGTTAACAAGATAGGGTTAGTATAGGGTATATCTTGAATCAATCTGTTTTGAGATGAGTTGTTGTTGTTAAGTGCTGTTGAGTCATAGTGACCCTGTATAGATTTTCCAAGGAGTGGTTGGTGGGTTTGAATCACCAACCTTGTGATTAGCAATCCAGTGCTTATCCTACAGCACTACACCAGGACTCATAAAAGAGATGAAATGCAAACAAAGAAGAAGAGACAGGGAAAGAGAGACGCCAAGCACTTGAAGATTGCCTAGGAGCAGAAGCTTAACAAAAACCTCTTTAAGAGCCTGTGAGAGAGAGAAAGCACTCCCTTAGAGCCTGCACCTTGAATTCAGACTTCTGACCTCCTAAATTGTGAGAAAAATACTTTCTGATTGTTAAAGTCATTTATTTGTGGTCTTTCTGTCATAGCAGCACAACTAAGGTGCCTCCCTTAGTGGTTTTCATTTCAGCAAATGGATCACCATTCAACACGAGGCTCAGGCCAAAGTCATCTGTAATTCTTATTTTCCTCATATCCTGCATACAGTCCATGAGTGTGATTTGATCTGTTTTCTAACCATCCAGAATGGACTTATTCACCCCACATCTACTACCAAAGAAGTCTAAGCAGATCTTTCACTTGAACTATAGCATTACTCTTTCCCCTTTGCCCTGTTGAGTTACTTCTCCACATAGTAGGCAGAAAGATCTTTTAAAAGCTTAAACCAGGTCATGTTGCTGTCATGTTCAAAATACTTCAGTGGCTTGCCATTTCATTCAGACTCAAATCCAGAATCCTTCCTATGTCCAAAAAGTTATGCCATAATTTCCCCCTTGCCTCTTTCTCAGATCTCATCGCTCTGACTTTGCCTCACTTGGGCTAGCTATACTGGTCTTCTTGTCATTTCCCTCTAACCAAGCTTCTTCCCACCCTAGGACCTTTTCACTTAATTTCCTTCTTCTGAAAGCACCCTTCTTCCAGATCATCACAATGATTGTTCTACTTCCATCAGATTTATGCCTAAATGTCCACTCTGCAGACACAGTGCCCTGACTACTGTAAATAAAATATTTGCTTCTCTCTGCAGCTCTCCTTCTGCCTCACTTCCCACTACACCAAAAACTCTGAAGTAGACTTGATATGCAGGGTAAACTTTTGCTTCAGTAATTTTCATTTGATATTTGCCCTGTTTATGCTGAATTGAGATCTCTGTTGACTGCTGGCATCCTAGGTATCAAATGAATTTGTTTGGCCACTACATAAGTCATCTTTGTGTGAATTTGCCATCATCTACAAGAGCCATTGAAGAGGACTTGCAGAGCTTATCAACTTTGTTTTAGCGAAAAACTGCTGTTAAATGCCGTTGAGTTGGTTCCAACTCATAGCGATCCTCTGTTAAATGCCGTTGAGTTGGTTCCAACTCAAGGAAATACACATGGATTTGAACCAGCGATCTTGTGACTGAAAACAGTCCAGCACATTATAGGAAAGCTTAAATTTAAATTCTCTCAGCTTTTTGTTTTAAAAATAACTAAGTCAAAGCTAGTCCTCTTTTTGGATAGGTTGTTTTTCTTGTTCAAGTACATGGTGTGTTGAGGTAAAAAGAGATAGTACCTGCCTAACCAGTCAGATCAGCAGACTCAAACTTGTTTTTTTCTGAGGTTTCAAAACAAACACAACCATTGTCATTGAGTCAATTCTGATTCCTGGCTTCCTCTGTGTTATGAAGTAAAACTGCTCCACATAATCTTTATGGAAACAGATTACTAGGCCTTTCCTTGACATTACCACTGGGTGGATTTGAACAGTCAACTTTAGATTCGTGTGACTGGCTTACAAGCTTTCAAGAGGGAACCTAGTGCTAGGGAGCATGGCGGAAGGCAGAATCTCTAGTAGGTACTATTCAATCTGTCTGGGCGGAGCTGATGAAAGGAGATACAGATGGGTAACTCGTGATAATGTAGTGAATAATGCTTATCAGGACAGATTATGAGGGTAGGAAATGCAAAGGTAGAAGTTTTGTAACAAAGAAGGGAGTGATTAACTCTCCAGGATAGGAGCAGAGGCCCCTGGGACCATCAACGGAGAAGAGCAGAGAGCGGGATCCTACCCAGAGAAACAGAGATGCCTGAGATGGAGGCAGAGATGATGACGCAAAGTGATGAAGCAACTGGGGTCTTTGGATCTAGAGAGGGAAAGGGACTGTGGGCTGAAAAATGGGGGGAGGAGAGGGAAGTGTAGGGGGCGAGTTTCTGGGATATACCCTTTGGGTGATTGATGATGCATGAAGGGGATTGAAACCATGGCAATGAGATGATATACGATGGAATGAATGTAAAATTAAAGTTCCCCCATGTAAACTACCATATAATTCACAATAAAACATAAAAAAAACCTTTAGGTTCGTGGTTGAGTGCAAACTATTTGAGCCATGCAGGGACATACTGGGGGGTATCAGGTGTCTAGGAGTCCTGGTGTAACACTACAGGATAATGCACTGGACCACAAGGCCAGTTTGAACTGCAAGGTTGGTGGTTCAAACCCACCAGCTGCTTCTTGGAAACCTTATACAAGATTACTATGGGTCAGAACTGATTCGGTGTCACTCAGCAACAAAGGTGTCTAGATATTTATTTTCTGATTTTAGCATAATATTGACTGTTTTGATTTTACCCCCAGTAGAGTCCTGTTGTGGTACTGCAGGCTAATGGGCTGGACTGCAAGATCAGCTTGGACCACAGAGTAGGCAGTTCAAGCTCACTAGCCACTCCTCAGAAACCCTATACAGGATTGCTATGAGTCAGAACTGACTTGACAGCACTTAACAACAATAGTGACCATGAATGTTTAGACTGTTTTCAATTGCCATGTTTATGTAGTAGCATATATTAAAAGACCATTTCTAATGTCTAAATTGTAATATTTTACATTACACATATATTTTGCTTTAATCAGATTGATGCTAACAAAGACCGATTGGTGACTCTGGAAGAATTCTTGAAAGCTACAGAAAAAAAGGAATTCCTGGAGCCAGATAGCTGGGAGGTAATAGAACTTACATTAAATGGGTTGTACTCATATAGTTCATGAAATTCTGCACCAGTGTATTGTACTTTTAACTCTGAGAACCATCGTTTACATGTATAGTCTTACTAGTGTTGTCTTTTTGGTTTTCTTTCTGACTTTTTATTGTGATTTGGGTGAAAGTTTTCAGAGCAAATTTGTTTTCCATTCAGCAATTCCTATTTTGTTCCATGCCATTGATTGCAATTCCCACAATGCAACAGCACATAATCCCACTTCCTCCCTATGTTTCCTGTTCCCATTTTCTCTCCCTTTCTGCATTCTGAACTTTGTCTCAGTACAAATCCTACCCTTTAGAACTTGAATATGAGGGGAAAAAAAAATTTATTGCTACTAGATTTCCAGTTAATACCTTCACAAGTTTAATCCAAACAAAACGTGTTTAATCATGTCTCTGTGATCAGTGGCTATAGCTGCAAAACAGTTTGGAGTAATACACTTGTCTTAGTATTATTAGGGTGCCTTCAAAAAGAGGCCCAATCATTGGCTTCTGGGGGAGTGGAATCTGCTAGGCCAGAGAGGTCAGTTTAGGTTATGGTGACTGGTGGACTCCAAAGGGGTAATCTTGCTAGATTTTCTCAAAGGATACAGGATGATCACAGGGGCTTATGATGAAAATGTTTTAAGAAAATTAAAAACTACATTGGTGAGAAAAAGGCCAGGAGAATTGTGTCCAGAAATTGTTTTCCATCATGACAATACATGGAGCCCCGCTGTGGTGCTGTAGGATAAGCTTGGGATTGCTAACCACAAAGTCACTAGTTTAAATCCACTGGCCACTCCTTAGAAAACCTTTATTGGGTTGCTATGAGTTGGAACTGACTCAACTGCACTTAACAACAGCAACAACAATGGCAATAAACCTGTTCACTCTTTGAGAGTAGCAAGAGCTGTCCTATGAGAATTTGTTGTGAAATTTTACCCTACCCACCCTACAACCTTGATCTTGCCCTTTCAAATTGTTCCCCAAATTCAAAACACAATTCAAAGGAACACAATTTGAGTCTCACTTGAGGATGACAAAACTGCTTGTTTTGATGTGGTGTAAATCAATGAGCACAGAATTCTTTGGGGTAGGGTTGGAGGGAAATACCACTTTCAGAAACATATAGGCCTAAACGGAGGATATGTTTAGAAACAATAGCTTCACATATTGATATTTTTATTTAGCAAAGATTTCTTAAATTTTGTAGCTGTACTCTGGTACAGCTGGTAACTGTACTCTGGTAACTCTGGTTACGAATCGGGCTGCGAACCTCAAGGTCAGCAGTTTGAAACTACCAGCTGTTCTGTGGGAGAAAGATGAGGCTTTATGTCCCCATAAAGATATACAGCCTCAGAAATCCTGTACAGGGTCACTATGAGTCGGAACCGACTCCATGGAACATAACCACCACCACCACCACCACTTTTTTTTTCAGGCAATGTTTAGTCCTTTTTTTTTTTTTTTTATAACTTTTTATTATGATTTGAGTGGAGGTTTGCAGGCAGGATTATCAGCTTTACATTCAACAAATTATACAGTATGTTTCATCTCAATGATTATAATCCCCTCCCTCCAACAGCAGTTGTCCTACTTCCTCCCTGTTGCTCCCCATTTGCATCCTGTATTTCACAAATGAACAAAGCAAAAATATCTGATGTACACATACAAAACAAAATTACATATTATTTAAATTCCCAGAGGGCATATTTTGTGAGCCAGTTTCCTGTCCACAGGCACTCAGCCTAGCCCACAGCTGCTTTGCCACCACGTCCGCCGTCACTCACTGTTTTTCTACTCCACTGTTTTCTAGGGATCTTACGCTCCACTCATGCTCTTCCTTCTTGGTGGTCCTGGGATCATCTGTTCATGAAATGAAAGATTAACTACTTCCCCTTTTAGTTGCACATCTTCTACCACTGTAGCTGTGATGATCACAATTAATCCTGCTAACAGTTACTCACGATTGAATCATAAAATCCTATCACCTTCATCCACCACCCCCTTTCACCAGATCTATCTGGAAAAGAGGGAACCTATTCACTGGGGATTCTACCTTACTTCCTCATTTTGAAACTGAGCACACTCATGAAAGCTTATAGGCCAGCCACTTCATGTCTTTATAGCACTCCCCCCGCCATGTTTGATAACTAGTGTCTACATTGTCCATCCCTATCCACCCAGTGCACTGAGGAAACAAGCTTATTTCTTGATATGAAGAATTCTTCCATTCCAGTTGGAATTTTGAACAACTGCATCCATAAGCAAAAGTCTAGTTCATCAAATTGTAGCAATTTACGCTGCTCACAGTACCAAACATCTTTATCTTCATCTGTTCAAGTTCTGGTCAGATAGCCATCTAAGCTAGGTCAAATGGGTGCTAGCTGCAAGTTTGGGAGTTCCTGCACACCTCCTTGCACTTCAGACCAGCTGACCACTTCACTCTCATCCTAGCCCCCAAGGACTAGGTCGGTGTTCATGGGCTCAGGAGTTCATACATCTTCCTAAACTTCAGACCACTCAGTTCTTCCTCTTCTTTCTCTCATCTCAAGGTCAGAGGGTGTCAGTGGGACTGTCTTCATTGCAGCAGTACTTTTTGACTTAACCCTTGTAATGTTGTCTTTTATACAAAATGTCAATATAAAGCAATCAATGTGATTTCTTCAAAACCTGTGGCAATTGATTATTTTATAATCATAGTGTACATGTGCGTAATTAGAAGTCTTATTAATTATATTTTTTTCTGCATATAGAATAATTCAATATTGATGATTAGAAATACAGATGAATTTAATCTTCCTCTGGTTGAGTTCTGATTAATCAAGCCATCAAGTCCATTATCTTTTCATTCCACTTTCCTACAAACTTTTAATAATTTTTAGTGAAGGAGAAAATTAATAGGTAATTATAATTTTTAAATATTTTGGCAACATTTCAGATTTATGTAAAAGTTGTAAGAATAAGTAGAATTTCTGAATACCATCGCCTAGATCTTCCATTTTGCTGTTTATTTAATATCTTTTTCATTCCTCTTTCCCTTTCTATATGTGTTTGTACGTATGCCTAACTATATATGAGGGGGCTTCAAAACATTTGTGGAAAAATTCCAATATCTTTTCATTCCATTTTTCATTAACAGTTTGAAGCCTTTCATATATATGTATGTGTTTATATGTCTATAGGAGTCCTGGTGTGTCACTGTGGGGTAATGCACTAGATTGCAAAATCAGTTTGAGTCCCAAGGTCAGTGGTTCAAGCTCACCAGTTGCTCCTCAGAAACCCCATACTGGGAACACTATGGGGTGGAACTGACTGGAAAGCACTTAACAACAACAATATATATGTCTACAAAATACTGTATAGTATCTATGTATATGTTTCCATATGTATATATGTGTTTCCATATGTCTGTATGTCTACAATATAGTTATTGTATATCATCTATATGTATGTTTCCATATTCCTATATGTCTACATACATATAGACATATAGATAATATTCAGTAACTATATACTGATACATAGCATTTTGTATTTTAAGAGTAAGTAAGTTGCACATGATACTGCTTTAATCCTAAGTACTTTATCACGTATTTCCTACAAACTACTATATATCTTCCATAATTATAATATATTATTGATATCAGGAAATGAATACTGAAACAATACTATTTTCAATCTTCAGAACTATTGGCATTTTGTCAGTTTTACCAATAATATTTTTTAGGGCAAAAGGAAATCAAGATCATTCATTTAATTCTATTCTCAGGTACAGCCAGTTGCTGTTTAATCAATTCTGACCCATGGATTGTCAGAGTAAAACTGTCCTCTCTAGGGTTTTCATTGGCTGATTTTTCAAAAGTAGTACACCATGATCTTTCTTTCTCTGTGCCTCAGAGTAGGTTTGGACATCTAACCTTTAGGTTGGCAACTGACTGTATCAACTGTTTGCGCCAGGCAGGGACTCTTAGTTTTCTTTAACCTGAGACAGTACCTAAATCTCTCTTTGTACTTTTTGGCATTGACATTTTTAAAGAGTACAATAGTTCTTTTGTAGAATGTTCTTCAATGTGAATTTGTTTGCTGTTTTCTGGTGGTTCCTACTTTTAGGACAATACCACAGAATGATGCTGTGTTCTTCCCAGTGTGCCATCGTATCAGGCCGCACATGCTGTTGGTTGTCCCCATCATTGGTAACGTTAACCTGGATGATGTGGTCAAGGCGATAGCAACCAGGCTTCCCCACTGTAAAGTCCCTATTTTATTTTTTGTCATTAACTCAGCTTCTTTGCTTCATTTGACATTCTATTACTAGGATTTCCACATAATATCTGTAAGCATTATTTTAATAGCTATGGAGATACTTAACCATTCTCTCAGGATTAGACATTGATCTGCAATCTTTTACTGTTATTTATTTTCTTTACTGCAATAAGCACATGTTCATAGAAAGTTTTTATATGTTTGGATTTATTTTATAGGGTAGCTATTCAATGTAGCATTGCCAAGACCAAGAGAATATTTTAAATGATGTTGCTATACTTTACAAAAGCACTTTTCTTAAGATTTGTATAGGTTTACGTTTCCAATAATAAAAGAATTAGAGTTCTCATTACCCATTAATTTAAGCATTTATTGATGATTTTGGCCAGAGTCAATTATTATTGTGATAGTTGACAAATGGTGACTTTTTAACCTCATCATTCTTTTGACAATAATTAGTTGGCTTTGTACTATATAGTGAAACTATCCCATCCCATCCCATCTCACTCATCCACTTGTCCATCTGCCTACTAACCTCCTATTGTCACTGTGGGCTCATGTCTTATTTTATTCATCCTTACTTGGATTATTTATGTTTTTTGATTCTCAGATTGTCCCAGAGTTGACCAATGAGAATTTCTTCACACTGACTTTTTTTTTTTTTTTTTAAGTTTTTATTGTGAATTGAGTGATCGTTTATATGGGAGAATATCAGCTTTACATTCATCTTATCGTATTTGTTTCATTGCAATGATTACAACCCCCTCCATGCATCATCAAATAACCAAAGGGTACACCTGGCAAGCCTGCCCCCTGGCCGTCAACACACAGACCCTCTCTCTCCCTGAGTCCAGAGTCCCCATCCTCTCCATCTCTCTACATCCGTCAACGTCTCTGCCTCCATCTCTGGCGTCACTGCTTCTCTGGATAGGGTCCCACACTCTGCTCTTCTCCCTTGATGGTCCCAAGGACCTCTGCTCCTGGGCTGCAAAATCAACCACTCCCCTCTTTTTGTTACAAAATGTGTACCTTTACATTTCCAACCCTCACAGTCAGTTCTGATAGCAATTATTCACTATCGAACCATAAGAGTCTTATCCCCATCTCCTTTCATCAGCCCCATCCAGACAGGTTGGAAACCCCTCAGTGGAGAGTCTACCTTCCTCCACACCCTCTGGATCTAGGCTCCCTCTTGAAAGCTTTTAAGCCAGTCACTTTTTGCCTTTGTAGCACCCCCATTTTGGGTAGCCAATGTCTAAGTTATCCATCCCTGTCGACCCTGATTCACACTGACTTTTGTATCCTTCTCACATGTCCCCATCATTCTTTAAAGAATTACTTATTTTCTAGCATAAATTGAACCCGGCTCATCTTGTCTTTCCCTGCCTCACCCCTGGAATTAGCCATTCTCTGAGCAATCTTGGTTCTGTTCATGGATATTGATATTACAGACTAAGATCTGGGCACTGAATGTGTTCTATGCTATTGAAGAATCATTGCTTCTAGACCTTGCCAGATGACATAGTTCAGGGGTTTAAAAAGCATGTATTCATGTATTTATTTCCTTTGAGTATGTGAAACATCAGCAAAAAAATTTTTTTTCTTTCCAAAAGATTTTATTGTGTATTGAGGGAGTGAAGGTTTGCAGGGCACATCATCATCTTTATATTTAGCAAATCATTGTTATGATTGAAATCCCCTCCGTGCACCCTCAGCCAATAGTATTTACCTCTGTTACCGTTTTAAAAATTTTTTCTTTTTAATATACGCATACCACACAGAAAATATATTTTTGTTTAAATGTCCAAAGGACACATTTTGCAAGCCAGCCTCCTGCCTGCAGGCACACTGCCTTTCTCAGTCCATGGCCTATAGTCCTCTGTGGCTCTGTCTCTATGCCATCTCCTCTGCCACCATCTCTGCTGTCGCTGCTTTTCTGGTTAAGATCCCTCACTCCTCTTATGTTCTCCCCTCTTGATGGTCCTACAGTCCTCTGTTCCTGAAATGACAGATAAACTGCTCCCCCCTTTTAGTTGCACCTCTTTTACATTTACAGTTGTGATAATTGCCATTAGACCTGATAACAATTACTCACAATTGAATCATAAAATCCTTAGATGAAAACTATTCAGTAGGGTTTCTGTCTTACTCCCCTCATTTTGACACGAACCTCAACATCAGCAAGTTTAAAAAATCAAATTTATATAAAAAAGTTTATTTAGAGAATAGCATTTCTCTTTCCACATTCTTTGTCTTTTCCACCCAGTGCCCTGTGGATAACCAACTTAATCAGTCTCTGGGCTTTTGTTTTTGCTCTTTCTTACCCCCCAAATAGCATGTTACAGACAGTCTTTTGCATCACAGAATTTTAAAGCTGAATTATTGCTGCATTTCTTCAAATATCTTTCCTCATATTTTTTTTCAGACATTGGATCAGCAGCAACTCTTCACAGAAGAAGAACTTAAAGAATATGAAAATCATATCTCTTTGCAAGAAGATGAACTTAAGAAGAAGGCAGAAGAGCTTCAGAAACAAAAAGAGGAGCTACAACGTCAGCATGACCAACTTCAAGCTCAGAAGCTAGAATACCATCAGGTGGTAATTTGTAAAAAGATTGTGGCATTAAAAAGTATTTTATGTGCTTTACTGACAGCCCGTATTTTTGTAATATGACAGTGCAAAGTACTATGGACTGTGGTATTTTAAATATTAGTATTTTTAAACTGCTATGTGAAATATTAATCTAAATGTTTGAATATTTCATTTTAGAAAACAATTTTCGGTTAGTTTGCTGTGCTTTGTCAAAAGTCATAGAAGTACTTATTTTTAAGACTTTGTTTTTCCATTCACTAGGCTGTACAGCAGATGGAACAGAAAAAATTACAACAAGGAATTTCTCCATCAGGGCCAGCTGGAGAATTGAAATACCAGCCACGTATGTAACTTTATTATTTATTTGTCTGTTTAAGTACATAAACAGTTGAATACATTGAAACCCACTTTTGTTACAAATATAATATAATTTTGAGCAGTTAAGATTTATGTTACTTTTTATAATTTGCATACTTAAAGAAAAATGAAAAAGCCTTTAAATGTTTATGCATCAGAAGAGTTCAAATGTTATATAATGTGATTACCATGTTTGTGGTGAAATGATTTATTTCAACACTGTTCATAATTCTTTCTAATCAATTATATTGATCTTATCAGAGAACATTAAAAAGATTAAAATCTATGATTAGCTAAGCATATTAAAAAATAAATATTCAGTATATCTATATATAAGAGAACATTCAGAATAAAGGAAGATAACTCTAAAATGAGAGTATATTTTTTTGACACAGACGTTTAAATTCCGAAGCCCACCAGAACCAGGAAGAAAATGGTTAACTCAACATGTTTCATCTTCTTACCACCCCTCCTTTTTATCTGCTCAATAAATATATTAAAATATATTTGGAATAAAGAACGATACCTTTAAAACTCAAACATAATTTTTTGGGGCACAGATATTTGCATACTGAAGCCTACCAGGACAAGGAAGAAAATGAACTTAGTAGCTCCTCTCACCTTCATCTCTCCTTCCTTTTCTTTACTGTCCTTCAGTGGTTGAATTAAGTGACCTTTTGGCATAATGTAATGACACTAACAGAACTTCTTTAAGTGAGAATCTCCGCCTACCAGTTTTTAAAAATAAATTGGTTTCATTTAACTCATGAAGATAGATAGATAGATACTCCTTTATGGGTATTTATCATCCTTTCTCTGGGGGGGGAAAAAAAAAAGATTACTTAAATATTAACAATTCTTCTCCTAAGATATTTCCTGATAACTTTTCTCCTACTTTCAACAACCTTGATTGTCTAAAAATTCTTCAACTAAATGGCTGTTACAATTGTAATTTTTCATTCATATTTTTGTTTTATACTTTATCATTTAGGATTAGATTTAGCTACATCTAACATAAAAACCAAAGATAATGGTGGTTTAAACTCAATAGGAGTTTTTCTCTGTTACACAAAAGAAGTCTAGAAGTGGGTGGTGTTCCTGTCTTTCTGCTCTGCTTTCTGCAGTGTGTGCTTTTATCTTCACAATCTCTCAGTGTCCAAGGTGGCCACCACAGATAGTAGGGATGAGCAAGAAAAGGGCCTTGCCTAGTTGAAGTAGCTTATTTTAGGTAATTTAGCAGAAGAACTGCACAACTCTTATACTAACCTCTTAGCCAGAGCTGAATCACATCACGACACCTAACTGCAGCAGAGGATGAGAAGTCATGTGCGTATAAAACCAGCTAAGAGTTGTTACCGTTAGGTGTTGTAGAGTTGATCTCAACTCACAGTTGAGATACCATGTGATAGTACAAACTGTCCCTTAGGACTTTGGTGACTATAATTTTTTTGAACGCAGATTGCCACGCCTTTCTCCCGCAGAGTTAGTTGCTGGGGAAGTTTTGGCTAGCAGCTGAACACTTAACAATTTGTGCCATGGGTGCTCCTTCAGGATTCTGTAAATAAGAAAGGAAAAAAGGAATTTTGGATAAGCAACTTTCTGTTTAAGCCCCAGTCATCCTTGCTGACTACCTAGATCTGTAGGTACAGTCTTCTGAAACATAGAAAATAATTGTTCCACACCCAGCTTCCCTAAAGGAAACCCCCTAAGTCAAATTTATTTTTACTTAAAGGTCCAAGATCATGATATCTGAGTGTAGTTTCTCCATTTTGTTCAGGTGTATTTCCTTGTGTTCTGGCCATCTACAAACTAAAAGGCCATATGTCTATGCCAAGAACACTATATATATAATGGTGGTGTAAGTGTAGGGTAACTACAATAAATCTACCATTTAGAACAGGGAGGAATGGAAACATAGGTATCACTTATCCATAGCAATTAACTACTGCTTGGTAAAAGTAACAAAGACTTTCTGCTCTGTTCCTGAATATATATTCCTTGGTTTACCTATAAGACAATCTCTGATTAAACTTTCTGCGAAGAACACTCTTTCCGGACGTTCTCAGGAGGCTTTGATTTTGCCCTAGAGGAAGTTTTTATTGTTCTTTCACTTACTTTTAAATTTTCAGTGGAAAGTATGTTCTTCTTGGAGGCTCTTTAGCCTTAGTAGTTCACTTCCTGTTTGTGTGGGTTAGAGGGCTCAGGGATTATTTTAGATGGCTAATAGTCACAAAGGGTTGCAGATCAAGTTTGGGGTTTTTATTTGCTTTGATTTTTGGCAGAATGATTTCTTAAAAGCTTAATAAGTTTCTTATCTGTTTTTTCCTGTCATTTCCATCAGTAACCAAAGTCAAAGATCTTGTCAAGACATAGCTTTCAATACTGTAGAACCTCATCTTTTACTTGCCAGCCTCTTTGTTCTCCCATCACCTTGGGTCTTAAATAAATGGTATGTACTTGAGACCATTTTAAACTATAAACTTGAATGGGATGGCCACAGTCTTAATTTGATCTTCTTCTCCAGGATGACTTCTATTACTTGGCAGAAAGATTCTTAAGGAAAAGTTCTTGGAAAAAATTGAAGAAGCTGCAAAGTTGCTTTATCAGAGCCTTATTAAAACTTTCAATTGGAAGTACAGAAGTGATACTTCAGACTGAAGTACTTCAAACTGAAGGTCAAAATTAGGAACACTGCCAATTTTTATGGCAAATAGAGCAGTCCCCTCAGCAAAGCTATATTCTCTTGCATCTCTGCAGACTTGTTAGCTTAGACTGAATTGCGTCCTTCTTGTAGGTCTTACCTGAAAAAGACGAAAAGCAGCCACCACATGATAGCATCCTGTTCTACCACCTCATCCTCTAACACCTTAACTTCGGTTAGCATGCATGAGATGTCACTACCCAAAGCCCTGCCTCCTCAACTAAGCCAACACTATATTTCAAATTCTTTCTCTTGCTCTGGATTGACTTCTAGCTACTAAGAATTATGTATAGGTCAAGATTCTTGATTGTAGGCAGTGAAATCATCTTTAGCTATTCAACAGGGATTTATTAAGGGGTATAGACAGCTCAAGCTCACAGAATCTTTAGGAGAGCTAAAGAAACAGAACCTAGTCTGAGTTTCTAGGAGCCTCATCACAAGGATGAACTGCCAAAGGAGTTGCTGCTTCTGGAACAATCAAGAAGCTGCCTTCCTGATCAGGAAGATGCCTGTTGGATTAGGAAGCCATGAACAGTTGCCAACACCAGAATCTCAGCACCTCTGCCACCTTTTGTGCCAGCAAAACTGGATACCTCATGTCCTGCCTCTCTCCATATGTAACTCGATTCTGAGTAAAAGTCTCAAGTGAGTGCAATTGCTGGATGGGACCAATCATATCTGGAACTCTAGCTACAAGGGCGGTTGGGAAATACAGTGTTTGGCTTTCCAACCTCCATAGTACAACAATGCATATTTAAAGCTGTTGAGTGAACTAATCTGTCTTCATTGCTTCATAATTTTATTTCTCTTAATCTTTAATAATGTTTCAAAAATTTTATAAGTGTTTAAGTAATCATTGCATACTACTCCAAACATACTTCAAATTGATTCTTACATCATAGATCTCAGAATTAAGTATAATAATCTAGAAAAGTTCTACTTTTTAAAGCAGAAATTAAAGTTTAAATTAAAACACAGAAGCCAAGCATTCAACTTAGTAGTAGTGCTGTATTTCTTTAGAGATGGGGAAGAATTTATATTTCTATTGTCTAAATTATAGAAAACAGAAAATTATCTGGTACATCATTATGTTGATGACTTCTATCTATGACCAGAAAGGCAGGAATTCTCCTAGGATAAACTTTTTAATGATGTTGTTGTTGCTGTTGTGAAGTGTCACTGAGTCTGTTCTAACCCATAGCGACCCTGTAGAGGGTTTTCGAGGAGAGACTGGTGAGCTTGAACTGCCGACCTTGCGGTTCAAACCGACCTTGCAGTCCAACACATTAACCCACAGAGCCACACCAGGACTCCATGGACTCCTAATGATGGACTGGTGTTAAATCAGAGAGTAGTTGGAGAACTTAGGGTGCTTTTTTGACATGTGTTGATAATAAATGGATATTCAAGTAGATGTACCTCACAGTTTCCAATCAATTATGATAATTTATATTATTCAAAAAAGAATCACTAGTCTAAAATTATTTATTGATTTATGTAATTCCAGTTTTTCGGAATACTGGACATTTGTGGGTGAATATTATTTCTGAGAGAATTGCAAATAATAATCTTTCAAGCTCTGTTAGAAAGTATTAGCCTTGTCTTTAATTTATACCTTGTTATCTTTATACCTTATTCTACTTTATGCTTCTTTTTAAGTCTGATTAATCTGCGTGCCACGTTGTATTAGTAGTTTGGAATTTGGGCTCATACATAAGTTTTCCTGAGGCATATAAATGTTGTAGTATACTTAGGTATCTATAATTAAAGTTAGAGCTTAGAAGATGATCATCCTAGAGAATGTCACATTAACTCTTACTGAAAGAAAATTGCGATTTAGAAGTAGTCGTGCAAAATCTTCTGATATATGCTATTGGCCGTACATTTTTTTTTAAAACCAAGATTTGTTTGCCACAGTGTTGCTTTTCATGCTAATTGAGCAAATTTGTATTACTCTAGGCTTAAATGCAAATCTGTTTTGCACATAAGGAAAAATACAAAGGAAAATGTTTTGTCTTGCATTAATGTGATTTTTAAGATAGACTAGCCAATAATAGATGGTGTAAGAAGTCTGTTTTCCATAGAGATAAGTGTGACACACCCACTGCATGACTGTTTATCTTTGTTTTACAGCCATCCAGTATAATCAGGAAGAAATAGACAAACAGCCAGAGTTAGAGGACAAGCTTCATGGCGTCCATGCGGGATTTTTATCCCCTGAAGAACCTGCTAGAGAAGTCCACTTCCACCCATAACCACTGGTGCCTCAACTTCATGCTTTAAAAATTCTCTTGTTTTTGTTGGAATTGGGAGAATAAGGTGTATTAAGGAAAATGGCAACACCACTGTTTTGTTTCTTACGAGTAACATAATAGTAAGAAGATTATAATGATAATTTATTGAATTATATTCATCTCGTTATTTCCCTGAAAAAAACTTTTTTCTCATGGTATGAGATTGAAGGAAAACATTATTTTTCTTGTTTTCCTGTCTTTTTTTTTTTTTAAAAAAAAAACCACAACAACAAAACTTTGTATTACCTTCTCTCCCTAATTTTAAATTTTCTTTGAAAAAATTATGTAGTTAGTTATGAATTAGTGACCATTTCTTAGAGAATTCAAGAACTGAGCTGCAACATGGAGCAATAGCTAGTGGTGAAGACCCCCAAAGTGAAAATTTCAGATCTGGTTTTTAGCACTGCCAACCTGTTTATTGAAACAAAAGCAAACCCAAACCAAGCCCATGAGACCTTTTATTTCATTTTAGTAATTTAGATTTTTCAAATACTGTCTTTTGACCCA